TAGCATTATGCTCAGAAAAGAGGAGAGAGAGAGTACAAAAATAAACAAAAAACATCAAAAATGATGGATATATCCAACAAAACTATTACAAGTCTACAAATACATGTGTATGTACAGGAAATATGTAGAACAACATTCCATTCCCAAACACCCATACCTGGTACCATGTCCCAGTTCATCAATCAGTATGAGTAGATTCTCAGTTTGTGCTTTCTCTAAACTGTATCCCTTTACCAGGCATTGGACCAACATATGTCCTCCTGTGTCCCTTTATCTCAGCCACATCAGTCATACATCCTACACTGAACCTAAAGTACTGACACACACGCACACACACACACACACACAGAGTGATTGTTGTATTAGTTTATTGTGTGCTCTTACTTCTCTAATTAATGCCAGGGCAATGAACAAGCTATACTGGTATTACCAACACCTACAGAGAGAGAAAGAGAAAGAGAGGGAAAGGGAGAAAAGGAACAGAAAGAAGACAGACAACATGAACATTATAACATGTAGACTGATTCAAAATACTGTTTAAAGTACATGTACACATACATGTATTGTACAGTATATTCCTTATAAAAAGAATTGTAAGAGAACGAGTTATAAATTAATAAATTTCCAGCAGTACATGTACCATTAGAAACATTACCCAATACAGTCAAACCTCTCTAAAACCAACCCCTGATTAGCGGACATCTGTCTATAAAGTACAGCTCCTGTTGTCCTGGTCATAAGGCCATTAGTTAGTGTATAAAAGAACCTCTGTATAGTGGAACCTCTCTATTCTGCATAATGAAGTACATTTACTGTCCCCCACACATCTACAAATTAACCTCCAATGGACATACATGGCCCACACAATGAACTTTCCAATTATCATGCAAGAGGAAAATGGTGGATTTTCTGGTCTGATCAGCAACGGGTAACCTCCAATTTAAGGACACTTCCATAGAAAGGACAGTGATGGCTGGCCCATAGGTGTCTAAGAGAGGTTTGACTGTAAAGTCAAACCTCTCTAAGATGGATGCCTATGGGCCAGCCATCACTGTCCTTTATATGAAGGTGTCCTTAAATCGGAGGCTATCCCATGCTAATCAAACCAGAAAATCTGCCATTTTCTTGATGCGCGTTAATTAGAAAGTCCGTTGCGTGGGCCGTGTCCATCCGTTGGAGGTTAATTTGTACACGCGTAGATGTGTGGGGACAGTAAATCTCGTGCGTTATACAGAATAGAGAGGTTCCGCTATACAGAGGTTCTTATATACACTACCCAAATGGCCTTATGGCTGGGACAAGAACGACTGTACGTTATAGAGAGGTGTCCGCTAACTGGGGTTCGTTTTAGAGAGGCTTGACTGTACATGTATATATATTAATAGAATAAATGTACATGTACATAACTATTAATGTACATTGTACATTACCAGGTGGTCCTACAAAGCAGAGTGTCTTTCCTTGAACTGATCCTTCAATCTTGAGACTCCTATAAATTCCAGTATCCTGTCCTTAATGTCCTTGAGTCCATAATGATCCTCATCAAGTATAACCTTAGCCCTCTCTAAATGGAAGTCCTCTTTACTGGTCTTACTCCAGGGTATACTCATCAACCAATCAAGATAGTTCCTTAATTGTTACACTGGGAGAGGGGGATGGGGAGAGAGAAAAGGGCAATGACAATTGCATGTAAGTAAAGAGCAATCAGTGAATCTATGTCTTTTTTTACTCACATGTAAATTCTGATGAGTGGTTGTCAAGAGAGGAAAGTTTGTTTAATTCTTCTTCAAAATTAATACAGTCTCAATTTCCTTTGTAAGACATCTTTTCAGGGAACTTGTTCAATATATAGTACCCAGTATATGGTAGACTATAACTATAAGAATCACAAGTCATTTAGACCTACCTCCACCATTTTGACAAAATTGTGGGAACATTGGGTTCCTATTGGGTACCAGGAGAGGTACCTCAGGTAGAGTATCAGGTATTGATATGGTGGCAATAGCACGAGAGAGAGAGAACCCAAACCAACCTCATCCAGAGACCCTTCATCATCATTAGTCTTATGATCATCTGATCCATCACTTGATTCAAAACTACTGGAGTATATATACTAATGAGAGATGATAGAGGGAGAGGAGATATTATAAAGAAAATGAATATGTGGCTAATTTAGATTCACAAATAAATTTCAAAGTATTTTTCCAATAATTAAAAAAAATTCTTAGACTCAATTTAGTTTACATTTCATTACTATACATAAAAGTTCACATAATTTTATTATTCCAACCTAATACGTCTAATGCGATAAATTATTTTTTAGTCCCCTGAAAATTGTTGGCATATATATACAGTAGAGACAATTCATTAACTTTTTAATCCAATTACCGAGCC